CTTTTCTCTACTTTGTTTAGTTCTTTTTCTGGTGCTTTGTTCTGTTCTTTCATTTGAGACATGTGTCTTTGTCTTCTGATTTTGGTTGCCTCCCTGTGTTGATTTCTATGTATTAGGTAGTTCTGCTATGTCTTGGTAGAATGACCTTATGTAGTAAGTATCCAGTGGCATTAGGTGGGACCCAGTGGCACGGTCTCCCTGGTCACCTGAACCAGGTGCTCCAGGTGTCCCTGGTGTTGGTTGTTTGCACTCCTTTTGTAGTTGAGCCTTGAGTGCTGTCAGCACATCAATGGGAGGGACTGACTCTCAGGCTAATTGGTTATTGAAGACCAGCCATGACTACAGTGGAGAGCTGTTGTGCAGAGGCTGACCCTATGGAGCAGTATTTGCTTTAGTGGGGCTGTTCTGATGCCTGCTGAGTATGCCATCTGGATCTGTCATTTGTGGAGCTGGTTGGGTGGTGGTCTGGTGCCAAAGGTCATATCCTTAACCACTATTAGTTCTTTCTTCTCAGGGAAGGCCTAAAGCATCTGGATCTAGGTTGAATGGGGCTTAAAGATAAGATATATAAGGACCCTACAGGAATTCTCAAAAGCTGCAGTTAGAGGGACTGTGTTCAGGGTCTAGGTAAAACTCAAAGCTCTCTGTGCATCTGATTTGAACCCAGTCTTTAGGATAAGTTCCAGAATTATCAGAAGCCTTCATGTTCATGGGAAAAGTTTAGCTCCCAGATATGGAAGCTGCAGATATTGACTAGTCTAGACCCCAAACACAACAGTGTTAGATTCTATCCTTGCCCAGTGAATGTTCTGAAATCAAAAGGAGAGATGCAGGTATTCCCACTGTTGGCAGTTAGGAAGAATAAACACAATTCATGGTTAAGCAATTTCCAAAGGGTTTAGAAAGCAAAATACCTAAAATATGTTACTAATCACAAAGTCTCTTTAATAAACCTCCGAAGAACAATGATGCTAATAAAACTCAATCCTTACTGAATTACTGCATAGTTGATCCTTGAACGTGTAGGTCTGAACTGTGTGGGTTCACTTAGACATGGATTTTCCAATTGACCTGTGCAGTTCAAACCTATATTGTTTAAGAATCAAATCTGAGGTTAGGGCTGACTATAGTTATGCTATATTTCTGGCTGCATGGAAGTTTGGCACCCCTAACCTCTGCATGGTTCAAGGGTTACCTGTATTTGTTTACTATATTTTTCATTCTCATACAGGAAGCAAGATGCTAAATTACTAATGGGTTTGGAATTTACTTAGTGGTAATTTAAAAGGAAAAAAAGGTTTTGCTCTGTTTTCCCCTAGGAAAAGTAGGTGCCAACCATGGAAAACAAAGAACACTCCATTAGTATAAGGAGAATAGAGGTGGAGAAAAATACAACCACACTTAAAAAGGTCACTTGAAGTTCACGCCCCCTCAACGGGAGGTAGGTCTTTAATAAAGTCTGGTACTGACAATGCACTTCCTCAAACCATAAAACTATTTCGCACCTCTTCTCTCCTCAAACTTCTAGACCTACCCACATTCTTACTCTCACCTGATGATCCTGCTTCCTACCTCACTGAGGAAATTAAAACAATCAAGAGCACTTCTGTAGATTCCCACCAGCACATCTACCTAACACTGCACGTACACACTCTGCCTTCAAGCCTGTTTTCTGGAAAGAACTATCTGTACTCTTGCCTAAAGCCACCCCTCCATTGCATACTTTACCTTTTCTCACCTACTGAAAAACTTTGCTACAGCAGTTTTTCTTCTCCACTGGGTCACTCTCTGCATGCATAGTTATGTTGTATATGTTAACAAGTATACACACATACTTGTTATTTCTTCCGTCTTAAAGAAAAGACCTCTTTACCTCACTTTCCTGGACTGTTCCTACACCATTTCTTTGCCCTGACCCTTGACAATGTAGCTATTGCCCTCCCCACTCCACCTAAACTGCTCATCCAGATTAATAATAATCACATTACTAAATTCAGGTGTCAATTTGTAGTCCTCATCTTACTTCAGCAGCATTTAACACCACTGATCTTTTCCTTCTCCTTGAAATGCTTTCTTCCTTTGATTTCTAGGCTACTACAGGCTCTTGGTTTTCCTTCTGTCTCCCTGGTGGCCTGTTCCCAGTCTCCTCTGTTAGTTCTTGCTACTCTCCTTGACTTCTTAATGCTGGAATGCTTCAAGGCCTAGTGCTTGGTACTGTTCTCTCTATCAACACTCATTCGGTGATCGTACCCAGTCCAGACTAAAGCTATCTATATACCAATGACTCACACATTTATGTCTTCAGTCCAAAACTTCTCCCCAAACCCCAAACTCACATAGACAACTGCCAGCTTGACATTTCTACTAGGATACCTGATAGACATCTCAAACTTAAATGCCTAAGACTGAACTCATATTTTCCCCTAAATCTGTTCTACATCTGCAGATTTACGGCAATTTCACCTTCCCACTGTTTGGGCCAAAAACCTGGAGGTATTCCCAACTTTTATCTTTCTCTCACACCTCATATCTGAGCCATAGTCAATTCTATTGGCTCTACTTTCAACATTCATCCAGAATCCAACCACTTTCCACCACCTCCAGGGCTATCACTCTGGTCAAAGCCACGACCATTTCTCATGTATTATTTTAATAGCCTCCTAATTGCTTTTCCTGTTTCTAACCTTCCTTCTTCTTGGTCTATTCTACAGAGTGCCTATTTTTGTTTTTAATCTTTTACTATGGAAATTAAAAAACCTATGTAATAGCATAAAGAGCACTATAATAAACTCCATATAACCATCAGTCAGCTTCAATAATTATTAGTGTATGACCAATCTTGTTTTATCTTTAACTCCCATACTACCCTGTCCTCCAGATTATTTTGAAGCAAATCTTAGATATCAAATCATTCCATGTAGTGATCCTTAAAAATATAAATCAAACCGTGTCACTTATCTGCTCAAACCTGCCAATTCTCCCCCTCCTTGCTCAAACTTGGAGTAAAACAAAGAGATCTCATACATGCTCTGGAAGCCCTAAACCAGGGGCTGGCAAACTGTGGACCAGAAACCAAATGCAGCCAGCTGCCTGTTTTTGTGTGGCCCATGAGCTAAGGATGGTTTTCACACTTTTAAGTGGTAGAAAAAAATAAAAAGAGGAATAATATTTCATAACACATAAAATATGAAAAATTTACAGTCCACGAATAAAGTAAAAATTTTAACTCTTAATTTGATCAAAATCTTTAAAAACTGCAGAATATGAACTCTAATAAAAATAAGAACCATTGCCCTGCAAATAAAAAACCTACTCTCAAATGTTTCATCTATCCATCTGTTCATCATCCATCAATGTAATATTTATTGTCTGCCTACTATGTCGGAGGGGTGGGGGATCTAAGGATGAAATAGTCTGAGCCTACAGTCTATTATGGAAGATAAAATTCATAGATAAATAACTATAATAGAGAGCAGAGTGTGGTAATGTGGGGCTGTAATGCAAACTCAGGTCAAGGGCAGTGTTCTCTCTCACCACAATCACACTGCCAATTCCTAACTGTTAGGAAAAAAAATCATCCTTTAAAACAGCAAAAATAGGAGGGAAAATGCAGGTACCGCAATAAGAAAAAATAAGTAAATCAATGGATAAAAATGCAATATACTATTATAAAATGACTAAATAATAACTACGAAAACATGGAAAATATTTTATTTTTCAGTGGGGAGAATGCATATTACAAACTAATCTATGATACAATATATTTATTCAATAAACACTAATTGAGCACTAACAATGGGCAGGCACTCTCCTTTGTGCTAGAGGCAATTCACAGAAGAATATTGCACAACTGTGGCCCTCGAAGGGCTCATATATGGGGAGCAACAGGGAGAGAACTTACAAAAACAAACAGGCAATGTGTTAAGGTAGTAGACCCCATGGGAATAATTTTTCTTAAAATGTTTTTCCTTTATAATTGCTAAAGTGCTGTGGTTAAATGAAATCTGTAAAAAATAAGTTTTTTAAAAAGCAAGACCAAATATCCAATTCTGTCAGATGTAAAAACGAGTTTAAAAAATTAAAAGGGACTTTGGGGTCCAGATTGTGTTCCTTAAATACAATTTCCCAGTAAAAGAACCAGGGTTAATTGGAGGAGTGGCTGATCCCAGGTCTGGAATAAGAAATCTACTAGATGAGCCAGATAGCAAGGAACCTCATGAACACCTAAAGTTACTGTCCCTAAGCTATTAAGCTATGATGTTATATGATCCCTTTTCTGTGATGGTCAGCAGGCAAATCAAACTCCAACCAGCCTGTTGCTCCTATGTAGGAGGTCTGTGGAATGGAAGGGTCAATCATTTCTGCCTTTCCTGGAGGTAACTGGGCTCTCTCAGTCCCATCCACCTCTGCTGCTGCCCAAATACTTCTATTGAGTACATCAGCTACTACTTCTACTTCAAGTAGCTGAATTCCTATGCCCCAGAAGTCTTAGAAAACTTTACTTGCACTACCATATGCAACAAGTGAGAATGACTTTCCAACCTATCCACCAGAATTTACCCATTCAGAGGCATCTTGCTCTACCAAAATGAGTTGCATTTAGTCCAGCAACAGGGTCATCTATCAAATTATCCTGGAAGCCAAGTCCATTGATAGTCAATGGGTGAGCTACACAAAAACATGGGCCTGGTTGTTTTACAGTGATGGCTTGTTTCCACCCAGGATGGTGTCATTTAGCTTCAGAACTCACCTAATTCATTATATCTAATAGCAAAGGATGGAAATTAACTATCACTATGGATACTAAAAAGATTAAGCTGAAGGCTTCCGAGGCAACATCCAAAAAAAGGGTTCCAGAAATGGTCTGTACAATGGCAGAGCCATGGGAATGAGTGGGAGGCCTCTCGAGTAACCATTCCGTTAACAAGATGGTCTCACTGAGAGGGCAAGTCTAGCCAATTTGGTGTTAGCACACTCCACCACTTCCCATGGGGACTTACCTGAATGCAAGCCCCTGTCTTCAATTTGCACAGGCTGCAAACTAAAGCCCACCGACTCGGCGGGATGTGGGATATCTTTGTGATTGGTTCCATCCTCTCGGGACAACCAATGCTGACCTACAAATAAAACACCACCATAAGGCAGAGGCACTAAGGCATTCCCGAAGTGCCTTTTATAAACCATAAATGATGTTACATGAAGCTCAGAACATCAAAACAACGAGGTGAGACACGTCTCTTAAGGTTACTATGGGACCAAGAATAAGTAAAACTTGTCTCTAGCCACTGCTCAGACCTTCGATCATTTCCAGTAATGTAAATGATTCATATATAGGATGAGGGCAGGAGTGGAGAGTAGGCGTGGTTAATTTAATGAATCAATGATATCTATACTTTACTTAGGAACCAAAGAAAGCTACTAAGGAAAGGAATTAAAATTTATAAAATCTAGCACCTATCATATTAGAGATGGTGCCACATGCCTTGTTTTCTCATTTAATTAATTAAGGATGAAAAACAGAGGCAGTGACAAGACTTTCAGTTCAGTTTACATGGAAGCATGATATTGTTGGAAAGTAGCAGCAATCTGTAGAATGAAGATTGCAGCATCTAAGTAGAAAGAATGAGGATGATGACATCTGTAAACCGAAGTCTTTAAGATCACATTTCTATTATCGGCTTACTCTACTCTCTCAGTAACTTCAAAGTGAAATCAGTCTTTGGGAGTGAGCTGAAAGGAAATGGATGTTTTTAAAAAGAAAGAAAAAAAATTTTCATATAAAAAGAAGAGAGCAAGCAACTTCTGGTAAAAAGTGTTTTTTCTTATTTATAAAAAAATGTACATGTTTCTAAGAGAGATACAACTTTAAAAAGTGAAGGACTGTTGAATAAGGATGGTTAAACTAGTATAAGTTTTGCCCTCATCAAGAAACCAGCAGTAGAAAGAACACAGAGGTCTTAAACAGCCCAAAAGGTACTAGAAACCAGGTACTAGAAACCATAAAAGAATGTCAATAGGTGCAAAAGCTTCTTTTACTTTTAAAGAACTCTTCCTGAGTCATGTTCCAGACTTTTTTTATATGCCGAGAGAGCCTGCTCTATTAGCTGGGAGATCTGCTGCTGGAAAATAGTCACTCTCAGGCCAGAAACCCAAGAGTTCATTTCATATGTCTATAAGCCGGATGTTCATAGTAAGAAAAAAACCACTACTCAAATAGTATTAAAAATACTGACTTCTATATCTATAAGAATACCACAGTAGTATCTAGAACTTTCAGCTGAACTCTGTGAGCTGACTGTTGGATAACTTCCCTGGAACTGACATTAATAAAAATAAAGCCAGGGAAGTTTTAAAGGAGAATGAATTACTGATATAGTATTATCAGCTCTCCCACGAACTAAATTCTGCAGTCTCTCTCGTCCTATAGTTAAACTACTAACAAATTTGCTCGCTTGAATAGGGGTTGGGGAAAGAGGCTGTGAGTGGGATGTCCAAACAGATTTAAAAAAGGGCAGCCATAAGAAGTAAGGAGAAGTAATGTTTGGAAGCCCTTTTTAATCAACTTATTGTGCACATAGCCCATCCAGGAAATACCAGAAACTGAAGAACCAGATTAAACTATGACGGATGGAGTTTTGAATAAAGAAGCTCTTAAACAAATATTTAGTCCAAGCTCTGCAAAGAGTTTCCAAAATCAAAGGGCAACCATCACAGTGGGGAAAAGAACTGTTGTTCACTTTTCTTTAATAACCTAAAACTGGAAACAACTCAAATGTCCATCAAAGGACAATGGATAAATTATGGTATATCCATACAATGGAATACAAATAGAAAGGAATGAAACATAGAGTGCTAGCTAGACAGGAAAAAAAATATATAATGTATGATTCCATTTATATGAAGTCCAAAAACAGACAAAACTAATCTATAGTGATAGAAATCACTCTTGGGTAATAGGGACCCAGAGAGGGACTGGAAAAGTGGGTATGAGAGATCCTTCCGGGGTGTTCCATATCTTGATCTGGGTTGTGGTTCCAGATACAAATGTGTGAAAATTCATGAAACCCTACACTTAAGATTTGGTATTTTAAGGTAAGTTTCACCTTAAAAAATCTGCTGCTCATACCCTGGTCTTTTTGTGCCTTTCCTTCTTGTACAAATTTATTCAACATCACTGGTAGTACCACCTACAAATTAATCAGCGTGGGCTTACAAAATCACTTGGATTTAAGAAGGATATGAGGGAGTTCAAGTGGAAGCATATCACCTTAGGAACATGGGCAAGCATGAAGTTTCTCTATGAAGCCTGAGTCAGTCTGAATGTTGTGAGAAATGGGGGTACCCTGGAGCAAATGGCCTCACAGGTCTAGGCAAGTTCTTACCTCAGGAATCCACAGAGCACAGCTGACATGAGCCCATTTAGTTCCTGTCTTGGTGGCTTTCATGGCTCCACCTTTCTTTGGACATAAGACACATTGCGGACGAATGCCCAGGACACAGGAGCGACACAGCCAGCTGCCTTCTGGGACCTTGAGGATGCCGTAGCAGGCCTGGAGACATGAGGAGGAGAGGGGAGAATGATTAGTATCTTCTCACCATGGTTGATGTCTGCTGTCTGGTACAGTCAACAAAGTACCCTCTGTTTTTAGCAGAAAGAGACAAATAAGGCCAAACAA